GCATCCTGCATAGATTTTATATCGGACGGAAATCGCATTCAAGGACATGTAAATTGTAAGAATGAAGATTTGTAAGAATGAAGACATTTTTCTTATATTTGTATTATAGTTGAAAGTTGACAAACATAGTACATTCTTTAACAAAACATTCCTGTAATGACAAGAAACAAGGACGCTGCTGATATGCATTTTCTTTGTTTTCCTCATCATGACAAGCACTCTAAATGAAAGAAACTCGAAATTAAGAATCTGACATAAATTATGCGTGACTGAGACTGAGAGCATGAACTTCGTTACTTTGTCATGTGATAATTTAATTTTAGTATTTGTAACGATATGTTTTTATATGTTTTTATATGTATTAGATCATATATGTATAACTATTAGTTATATAAATACGATGAAAAAAATAATTTATAATATTTCTTTACAGCTGGTAGTGGAAATGGCGGTATTCAAGGAACCTATCCTGGATATAAAGACAATCCGTTTTTATCCAATGGCGCTGGATCAAATGCTAATGCTAATGCCCATGCTAATGCTCAAGCAGGTGCGAGTGCAAACGGCGGAAATGGACACAATTATCAACAAGATGGAAATCAGCAAGGTGGATATCAACAAGGTGGATATCAGCAAGGTGAATATCAACAAGGCGGACATCAAGGCGGATATCAATTAGGAGGATATCAACAAGGCGGACATCAACAAGGTGGCAGTTACCCAATAGAATCATCAGGACAAAATCTAATTGGCGATAATAATCCTTTTCTGAATCCCGGCGGACATTCCAGTAGCAACGTCGGTGCTAATGCTAATGCAAATGCTGGAGCTGGTGCTATCGCTGGAGAAAAACCGATAGGTACCAATAATCCATTTCTTAATGGTGGCGTATCCCAAAATGTCGGAGGAGGAGGAAACTATCCAGGAAGTTCGAGCGTTTTGAGCGATAAACCTAAAGGGGGGAGCCTTTCTACCACTTATCCGGGACAATCATCCGGAGGATACCCTGGCTCATTCGGATCGGCGGGAGCTAATGCTGGTGCCAACGCCAATGCTAATGCTGACGCTGGAGCCGGTAGTGTTGGAGGAGGTCCGATCAAACAAAATCCGATAGTTAGCTCTGGTGGGCATGGTGGCGAATCTTCGGGAGTTCTTGGTGGTTACGAAGGTCACGGTTCTAGTCCAAACTTTGATGGATTTGGAGGACAAGTCGATGGTTCATCTGGTGCGAATGCTAATGCTAATGCTAACGCTGGTGCCACTAACACTGGAGGATCTGGTGGACATGGATCCATTTTCGGAGGTCACGGAGGATCCTCCGGATATGGTGGTGGCTCTTTCGGTAGTCAAGGCAGTGGATTTGGAAATGATGGTGCAAATATTCACGATGGACATGCTGGAAGTTCTTCCGGAGCCAACGCTAACGCCAACGCCAATGCCGGAGCCGCCGGAACTATTCATGGAACTATCCCTGGAGGATCCTCCGGATATGGTGGTGGCTCTTTCGATAGTCAAGGTAGTGGATTTGGAAATAATGGTGCAAATATTCACGGTGGACATGCTGGAGGTTCTTCCGGAGCCAACGCTAATGCCAACGCTAATGCCAATGCTAATGCCGGAGCCGCCGGAACTATTCATGGAACTATCCCTGGAGGATCTGGAGGTCACGGAGGATTTGGCAAAGGCTCACTCAATAGCTATGGTAATGATGGATGTGCACAATGTGGCTCTTCCGGTCTGAATCTCGGCGGATATGGCGCTGGTTCTTCTGGTGCTAATGCCAATAGTAACGCCAATGCTAATGCTGGAAGTACCGGTAATGGCTCTGGTGGATACGGAAACGATGTTAAAGGATATGCCGGAGGACATGGTGGTCAAAGCGGATTCGGTAATCAAGGCGGATTTGGCGGAGGAGGTATATATGTATTTTAAATATAAATCTGTGTTGCGTGTAGGGACCTGTATAATAAACTAAATAAACAATTCCTTTAAAAATTAATGGTAAATCCTAAAATTCGGAAAATTACTGCATAATTAATACACGTAATTTTTTAAATTGCTTTCTAACATAATTACTATTTTATTAGAAATAAGCACAACTTCCTTTAAATTATTATCGTCATTATGTAATGCCTTGTTGACGTTTATCTTTGACGTACATAACATTTTATTGCATGTATGCAAATATTCATCAAATGATCATTGAACAAACAATGCCTCTGTCTTAACAATTTCTAACGCATAATTTATCTCGCGTGTTACATAAGAGATGAAAAATTATTCAGTCTCTATATCATGATAGATTAATAACCAGAGTTCACGTTCGAGAAAATCAATCCTTTAGTGTCAATACAAATCAAAGTCTCTAAATCACAGAATACCAAGTATCACATTGTCACGCATGTTTCTAACACTTTCGTTCATGAATTACGAAAATTGGGTGGAACAATGATAAAAGACTCATCCTGCACTCCGCTAGATAACCCAGTTAAAAGCTCTACATATGATTTATGGAAATATTTTTATATCGGGATTCATCGATCATAACAGAGCTTTTCGTGTTCATTTTTCCACAGACCTAAGCCCCGAGGCCAAGGCATCAGCATTGTCTATGGCGGAGGCTGTAGCGTCAGGACAGATCATAATTAAATGATTCGCTATCCCGCAGGCTCAAACGCCAACGCACAGGCGTCTTCTAATGCAATTGCGTCCGGCGGTGGATCGGCATCAGCAAACAGCAAATCGTCAGCCTACGTTAATGGATCAGGATCCGCAAAAGCCGACGCGTCCAGCAGTGCGTCTTCAGGATCTTACGGTGAAATAGGACCGAAAAGTTCAGCGTCGAGCCAAGCATCAGCTTCAGCCGATACCAAGGATATGTTGATCTTTAATTAAATTGTGATATAATGAAATAAATCGACGAGGAGACTCGAAAGAGTCTTCTTGGCCATAGTAGCGATATAATACTCTGATTTATACTTCGATGTTCCACGAACAAACTTATTTACGGTATGAATATTATATTGTTTAATTTTGCGACGAGAATTAGAGATTATTGAAAAATTAGAAGTATGCATATCATAAAACTGTCTATTAATAAATATGTTTAAATTTATAATTACAGTTATAAATTTGAACGTATTCTTAAAAATTGTGATTGTAAATTGGAGATTTAATATCAAAAGTTAAATTTTAAAAATAGATAAACAGTCTTGAGCATTTATTAGAAAATATGTAAGGATAACTATTTATTTGTATTTGTATTGCAAATCATATTGAAGGCAGATCGAATATTGTTTTGCTCAATTTAATGAAATGTGTAAAATGGAAATTACGACATCAGAATTTAAGACAAAAGGCTTCTTTGACTCACAGAAATATAATTTATAGACAAATCCGTTTTCAATTAATTAATGACATATCTGCCTCAGACTAAATCATTTTTATACTTACCTGAGATATTCTGTAATCAGAATGGTTTTAATATACATGTGTAATATATGTATATACAATATATACATATATATATATATAT